CTGATACTGATACGAATACTAGTGATGGTATCTTAAAAGACTGAGATAAGAATGAAATTATCGATCCCGGCAGCTCAGAGTTACAGCAGTTCTCGTTGAGAAGCGAAAAGGATGGTGTAGTAGGATTGTTTGGATGTATAGTGGATGTGAGTGCTTTACTCTTTCGCTGCTTCGATCCCTGCTTAAACATCTCTCAGCGTCAAAGTACTGCTCCAATATTGATGGCTTCACCTGATGTTAAGGGATAGTACTATAGTAGAATGCATGTTTCATAATTTAAAACTTATAATATATGACCAATTTAAGGTTTTTTTTGGATAAGTTCATATATATTATTTTAATGTCGTATTATAATAAAACTAGTGGGTATAAAGATTTTAAAATCTACGCATTGAAACAAATCTAATAAGATTTTACGTATGTAATATCTTAAATTTTAGGGTTTTTCAAAGTTATGCCCTCAAGGTTGTTGAGTTTCTAAGGTGTGTCATGTTTTTTCAAAATTACAAGTTGTGTCCTCCAACTTAAGCTGTTTAATCAACCGTACCCTCTGACGTAAACTCGACGTTAGAATTGTAAATAAATATGAAGTAATAAGAAGCGGATGAGAAAAAAGAATAAGAAATACACTGAGAGCTTGACATATCAATGGTTGCTTTTAGAAGAAAGAAGAAAAGGCAGATGAGAAATTTTGTAAAAAAAGTGTTAAATTGTAACCTACTTATATAACTCTAACTTAATTTGGGCGTGAAATTTCTCTCCAAAGTGTGATAATGAACCGTTAATACAACTACTAACATTGGATTGACGTTATAGAGTACGGTTGAATAAACACCTTAAGTTGGAGGATATATCCTGTAATTTTAAAAAAGCATGGGCACACCTTAGAAACTCAATAACCCTGGGGGCATAACTTTAAAAAATCCTAAATTTTATCATCTTTTAATACCATGTATTGATTTTACCATCAATTAAAAAATAATAAATAAATAAATAAAACTTTATTTTAAACAAACTGCTCCATAAAAGACATTACATTAATTTACTACCTCTTACTTTGATTCTAGTCAAGTTTCCTGTTTTAAGGCTCATATAAGGGATATTTTGACCATTTTAAAGTCTTCTCTCAATTTGTTTCCTATTAACCTAATCCCATTGGTTTATTTACTTATTTACTTCCAAAACTAATGGCCTTGGTTCATATTCCAAATTGGATATTTTTTTATTTTTTATTTTATTTTAATCTTAAACTCTAAAAAGATTAAGTATCAAATGTTTTTATAAAAGTCATGTTTATTTACTTATTTACTTCCAAAACTAATGCCCTTGTTGGTTCATATTCCAAATTGGATATTTTGGATATTTTTTTATTTTATTTTAATCTTAAACTCTAAAAAGATTAAGTATAAAATGTTTTTAAAAAATCATGCTAACGAACGCCCTCGGAGCTTTGGATAAACATTTAAATTATTACTTCAAGTGGTATCAATTTGGGAAATCATGACAAAATCACGCGTTAATCGATTTAATTAATGCTTATTTTGAATTTAATCTTTCTACTTTTAACTAACTTATCCAACACCCCCGTGGCATTCGTTCGCTTTTGCCTTTTAAAAATTGGAATAAAGGGAAAGTGATGAGAACTTTTTGGATGAAAGAAAATTAAGTGTCAAAGACTTTTAGATACGTATTATAGACAAAATCCACTCTGGTTTCACATAAGATTACTGGAAGATAAAGAAAAGCTTAAAAGAATGATGATGACTGAAAGATGAACGTTATGAATCTTTATGATGCGCAACAAGAAGAAATTTGTTCAAAACGGTATAATGACAGATTCCACACACCTTGAAAATAGAATATACATTATCAAGATTAGTATTGGTACAAATTAAAAGTTAAAAATCTAACAAATTTGATTAACTAGATTCTGGTAGGCTATGGTTCTCAAATAAGTTAAAAAAAAATTTTTGAAAGATACAGAAGCACCTCTCAATCGACTCTAATCTGTAGGTGTTGCATTAAAATCATAGCATCACTTGGAGTTGTTGTACATGTTGGAGTAGCTTTTTCCATGCAAAATTTGAGCCCTCGACTTGACTTCTGGGCTGTAGCCAAGGCGTAGTGGCTTCTTTTCCATGCGCCTATTACAAACTGTTGGAAATGCCATGTCCACTGCATTTGGCTCGATCTATGTAGTAATCTTCAAGTTTGAGGACATAACCATAAATTAAGCATGAATTTTGGAAAAATCTCGCCAAGTTAAAGGAAGACAAATATAGTTAAGAGACTATAAGTATAATGATGCAGCAAAGACAATGTCCCTTTTAATCATGGAGACAGTGTCTTCAAACTTAGATTCAAGCTCTATCTCCCCAATAGATTTAGCTGCGAGAATGAGTTGCTGAAGGACTTCTTCCAATCTCCTAATAGCCCTGATCAAACTTCCCTCAAAAACCTGCGTAATTTCCATGATCTCATAGAATTTGGATCCTTTAGCCCAGGCATAGACTGCCTCCATAATATCAGGCCGGAATGAGCTCACAAAATTCTCAACATCAATTTGGACCTATCATCAAAATAGAAAAATGATGTCAAATAGCCAAGTAGAACATAGAATTTTTTATCAGTACCAAAATAAACAAAGCCATCATATGTGGATCGGAAAGTTTCTCTTCAAATTCAAGATGGGAAATTTAATTTCATTTCTCAGCGCATTTTCTATTGCCTAATATGTTTTCATTTCTCAGTGCATTTTCTATTGCCTAATATGGTTCTATCAGGCTCTTTTTTCTTCTTTACCTTGATTTCTCTCAAAATTTTAAGGAAAACCCGCATAAAAAATGAAATCAACACAAATAAACATTGAGCCAATTTGGCTGAACCACACAATTCATGATAATCAGTCCATTTATACAGCATAATTCAATTGCCCACACAGTCCCAGGCTTGGCCTTGTGTGGTATTACCTATTTTTCTGAAAGCTATTAACATACACTGTTTGCACACATAAAGGCAATTGGAAAGTGAGTTGATGTGATGTGGTGAGTGTAGGAATAAGATAGATGAAGAAGATATAAAGGTGGGTGAAGAAAAAGGGGTTTGAAAAAATGGAAAAAAAGTGAAAGTGTTAACAAGTTTCTGAAACGGGATAAAACAGAAAGTGTTAATAGCCTATAGAAACGGAAGTATTATGAGCTCTAAGAATCTTTGCACACAATGTAGACACAATCAAAGGTTTGACAAAAGAAAATCTGACTGCAACATAATCTTTTGAACTTTGCTAGCTAGGCTAGATTTTCATTTTGGCACTTTCAACAATGTCACAAGTAGGGGTATTAATTGTTTCAAAAAAAAAAAAAAACAATAGGGGTGTTAACAAGCCGAGCCGAGCCGAGCCTACCCTGCTCTCGAGCTCGAGGCTCGAGCTGGATACTCCTTAAGGCTCGAGACTCCAAAAAGCTCGGCTCGAGGCTTAGGTACCTTAGTCTTTAGCCATTTAACAAGGGCCCAAATGGAGCCCGTGATCATTGTTTCTAAGACAATCAAAGTTTGCTTTAGTAACTCTCATATTCTACTCCTTGTTCCTATCTTTCAATGTGACTATTTCTTTCCTCTATAATTTGTTTTAGTTCTTCTCTATTAACAATAACAAAAAACATCATCAAAGTTCCAAAACTCGGTGAGAACACTAGAGTTATGAAGATTAATTTAAGTCCCTAAGCCATAAATCCATACCTTTCAAAAAGTATGAGACTACTCTTAGGAATAGTACTTGAACGATTATACCCTCTAAAATGTTTATATAATTAATTGCCTCCATTAATGTTAAATAGCTCTTTTTTAAAACTAATAAGAATAGTATGCGGATATTTATACCCCCAATAATATTTGTTTACATATTTTCCCTCTCTTATGAATATTGCTTGGACAATTATACCCTTTAAAATGTTTAGTTACTAAATTACCCCATTAATGTTGATAATTACCCTTTGTGCCATAAATATGAAGAAAAGTTAATGCTAATAATTAATTTATTACCAAAAATAAAACTATTATACAAGAAAATATTCGAGCTTGCTCCCGAGCTTTCGAGCCAAGCCGTTAAGATCTCAACCCAAAGTCGAGCTCGAGTCTAGCTCACTCACTAAAGCTGAGCCTATACCGAGCTTTGGTCAAGCCGAGTCTCGAGTAGTTCAAAAACCACCTCAGCTCATTAATACCCCTAGTCAAGAGAATATCAATTTAATAATTAAAAGCCAGAAACATTTTTAACAATTATTGTAGCAACTAGGAAGAGCCACACAATATAATTCTACAACGTCCAAGAAAATCCTCCCAAACATTAAGACAAAACCAATTACAAGCCTTCGCATAACGTATCATGGGCATTAACAATCCCATTTTCATCAAATAAGAAAACCCTTTTGAGTAGTGAGAGGCAAGTAGGTGGATGGAAAACACTTCTCTCTCTCACTTCCAATATATCATTTTCTTCTCATTCATCAAGTAATCCTTAAAAGGAAATTTTTTATTTGACAGCCAAAAAATAATCAATTCCACTAATCACCTGATGGGCTTTGCTCTTTTCATCAAATAAAACCAGCAAATATCAATCAAATCACTTAAAAGCAATTAAAAAAGAAGCAAGTTCAAAGATAATCAATTCAAGGAAAAAAAAAATCAAAATAGTTCTATAAAAATCAATACTCCAAAATTACTAACATTATACTTCATTCGTTTCTTTTTAGTTTACACGTTTCTTTATTCACGTTAGCCAATACACTTATTCAATCATTAATATATTTAATTATCGATAAGAAAAAATTATGAAAAGTTGATATTTTAAATATATATACCACATGACTATATATTTCATTACGTATAAAACACAAAACACAATCAAAAAGAGGTTTGTGAATAGTGCTAAAGTCAAAATGTGTCAACTAAATAAAAACAGAGGTAGTATTAATATTTAGGAAAAATTGAAAAGAATAATCCCACTTTTGGCACATCTTCTCAAAATAATCTTACCTTTGCGTATTCTGGAAACAATCCCACCTTTGTACCCCATTTTCTCAAGATGACCCTTTTTCATTAATTGACCAGCCTGTTTTAAAAGGTAATTTGACACGTGTCGCCTTTTAATTGGGTTTTATATATAATTTTTGTAAAAAATTAAAGAATAAAAAAAAAAAAAAACCTTTTTCCTTCCTTCCCTTGCCGGAGCCGCATCCGGCCAGCCTCCCTCCCTTTCTCACTTTCCATTTCCTTGCTCGCATTCCCACTCTCTCCTCCATAGAAAAAGACAATTTAAAAATTAAAACAAATTAAAGATTGCAGAAATTTGAGAGAAAAGGAAAAAAAAAAACCAATTTCATCATCTTCTTCATCAAAACTACTGTAATTTTCTTGCATAAATCCACCATTTTTGGGCAATTTATAAACTACCCTTTATTTTCTCTCTCCTTCAATGCTGAACAGCGTTCGATCTTGGTGTTTGAGTGGGTTCGAAGGTTGAACAGCGTTCGATCTTGGTAATTGTTATTCATAACAGAGGTGGGTTTGAAAATTGAAAGAGTGAATAATAAAATAGTTGTGAAAACTAAAATTCCACAAATTGATAAAGTAGATTGTGATTTAGAAACGAGTAAATTGGTGTTTGATTTCGAAGTGAATGAAATTGAAGATTTCTTCTTACTACCAGAGAAATTAGGTTGTTCGTGAGAAGTATTGTTGTTATTATCTCGGTGATGGTGAGAAAGGATGAACAAGAATCCCATTCCCCAACCTTCATTGTTGCTGCTGCTATTTTTATCACCATTGGATTTTGCAAAAAACACTCTTGAACACTCTTTTTATCGATTTGGGGGTTAAAAGGGGAGTTGGGGTGGGGATTGGACATGGCAGCCCCTTCCCCTTCCCTCCTCCTTGATTCAGGTGGGGTTTTGGGTGGGGGTCAGTTCGGTGGTGGGTGGTGATGGTGGTGGACATGGAGGAATGGGGTGAGGTGGGCGAAGAAAGATTAAAGTAAAAAAAATTAAAAATAAAACAAAATTGTTATAGACTAAGGCTGATTCACTCGATAATACTCATTAGTAAGAGAAGGACTGATTTTTCATTGAACTGATTAATGGAAGGGATACATAGTAGCTTGAGGCTACAAATCTCCTAGCAACTTGAGGTTGCAACTCTCCAAATTTTCCTCACTAATTTCTGCCTGCCTTTTCCACTAACACTAGCCATACTACTTATACTAAGATGGTCAAGGATGACCTTAAGGCTTAACATGTGAAACTTAGCTAATATAGAAAAACATAAATAAACATCCTAGGACTAAAGTTGCTTCCTTTCCTTCTCCTCTTCTTAATTGATTTTGTCCCTTGCTCTTTGTGGTTTGTTTTGTTGATACCCGTGTTTGACTCTTTTAGCGTAGACCCGTATATGTGGCTGACCCACCCACCCCCTAAAGCCGGTCTATTACATTACCGGCCCCCTCGAGTTCCACCTTGTCCTCAAGGTGGTTGATAATCGGCACGTGGATCCCGGCCTCGGCAACATTGATCTCTAATCCCACTCTTGAATTGGTCGAAACTCAGAGAGAGCTGTAGTGAAAACTTCTGCTCATTGTTGAAAGTTAGAGGCCTTAGAGCTCCCCTTCTTAGCCTTAATATGGCAGAAGGTTGTGAATAATGCACCAATTTGTCATGAGAGAGGGTCGAATGGTGGATGGAGTTGGACTCCGTTGACTTGTGCTTGGGATGGTGTGTAGGCTGTGGGTTGTGGGAATTGCAATGAACATTTTGGTCTAACAATTGGCTGAAGAAATGGGGTCGGAATATATTGGGTGGTATAACTGGGATGGGTGGGACACTATTAACTAATAAAATGACAGTATCTAAGGAAAAGTAAGTCCTCAAAGTGGGTCTACAGATTGATAGGTTTGTGGGCTTACGGTTAGCAGATTGATAGTGAGAAAATTAGGAAATGAGTTTGTATTTTGCATCTAAGTTTAGAGGAATGGGCCTGAGTTTTCTTAGCCCATAGTGAAGGTTCCTCTCATTAAAAGGATTGGGCTGTAAATGGGTTTGTACTAGCAATGTAGTATTTAAACTGTCAAGCCTTTCATCTCTTTTAGCTGCACGTGACTCTAGCAGCTGACCTGATTCTTGTATTATATTTTCAAGGCATATTACCATAATACCCTTACTAACATATTTTATCACTGACTTTCTCTCCAAGCTAAGCTTTGACTTAGTCAAATTCCCTTTCATCACTTTTTCATGATGCTTCTGGAACCCACCAAATATCCACCATTCATGAAGCTCTCCAACCCCTCCAAAGTACTCCAGTCCACTTTCCAACAAGCCACCTCCGGCGAAGAGACGACAGCCACTACCGGGCCCAGCACTAACGACGCCATCTTCTTCTCTGTTCAGGCCACCACTAGCGGCGGTCTTACCACCCCTCTCAACTTTTCCGGCTAAATTACCTGGACCACCGTTGGATCCACCAACTAAACCACCTCCGACCAAGCAACCACCGCCGGTAAAGCCACTACAAAAGTCACCGCCCCTTCTTGCTACCATCCATGGTGACGACTCACCGGTAATTTCGCCTCGACCTACACCGCTTCTGCCATCGCTGCTCTTGCACCTTGCACCATCTTTTTCTCCGGCGACCAAATAACCCAGTCCACCACCGGATCTGCCCATCACAAAACTTGCGCCTTCTCTGTTCAGTCCACCCCTAGCGGTGGCCTTACAACCATGCTCACCCTTTCTGCCAAGTAATCCTGGGCCACCGCCGGATCCACTTTCACCGGCACCCCCTCTCTCGAATTTTCCCCCTGGTGAACAACCTGAGCCACCACTAAGTTTCCTTCTCCATCTACCCCCCTCAAATTCGTTGCAAATACCACCAGCAAGACCACGGAACCCACCACCAGATTCACCGGCAGAGTTACCTTGACCACTACCCTTAAATCCCGCTCCATAATCACCAAACCTTCCACCCGAATTCAATTTTCCTGCGAATACTCCAACCACGTAACCCAACTTGCTGTCAAAGTCTTCGGAATAATCACCAGATTCACCACCAAGGCCACCTTCGAAAACACTCCCCCCACCATCATAGTCACTAGCACGGATAAATCCACCAGTCAACCCACCACGCCCATGACGTCCACCGTCCACCACCAAATTCGTTGGCGACTCCAGCTCGTCCTCCACCGAAACCGGTGCACCGGCAGACTTGAAGGAGACTGCCGTTGGTTCGTCTGTGAGACCTTCCTCAACTTTCCTCTCCGTGCTCACAGTTGCAACGACTTGCTCGGCCAAGGGTTTGGATTCGAAAGGGCCTCTCTTCTCATCCAGCCTCTCCCTTTCCGCTGCCATTGCTTGGGCGACCGCCACTTCCACCACTGCCCTAATGGATTCTTTCTCTAATAATTTCGGAGATTTCTCACTCCTTTCCTTCTTATTTGGTAGCCACCTCCCTGAATTTCGAAGCAGCCAAGTCTTCAATTCTTGCCAGTCACGAAATGGTTGCCATTGGTGTTCACGTTCAAACCACTGCAACGCCTTGCCATCAAGTCCAATAATGGCAGCCTTCAACTTCGTCTCCTCATTCATCTCGAAGAATTGGAAGGAATCCTCAAGCTGAAGGACCCAATCTTCCAAATTGCTTCCAGTAAACTCTGGAAGTTGCAGCTCTTGTCGAGTTCTCTGCTCCTCCTCCTTGAGATCCGAAGTTCTTAGTTCCTTATGCGTGAAAGGTGTTCGAATCCTTCTTGAATCCATTGCCTCATGAGATGTGCTCCTTCTGTTCCAGAAACTGCATTTTTTTATTTTATTTTTTACGTTGTACGGACGGTGGTTTCAGTCACCGGCAGGCCACAAGACCGCCTGCTCTGATACCTATTGTTATAGACTAAGGCTGATTCACTCGATAATACTCATTAGTAAGAGAAGGACTGATTTTTCATTGAACTGATTAATGGAAGGGATACATAGTAGCTTGAGGCTACAAATCTCCTAGCAACTTGAGGTTGCAACTCTCCAAATTTTCCTCACTAATTTCTGCCTGCCTTTTCCACTAACACTAGCCATACTACTTATACTAAGATGGTCAGGATGACCTTAAGGCTTAACATGTGAAAATTAGCTAGTATAGAAAAACATAAATAAACATCCTAGGACTAAGGTTGCTTCCTTTCCTTCTCCTCTTCTTAATTGATTTTGTCCCTTGCTCTTTGTGGTTTGTGTTGTTGATACCCGTGTTTGACTCTTTTAGCGTAGACCCGTATATGTGGCTGACCCCCCCCCCCTAAAGTCGGTCTATTACAAAAATCTAACTTGTAAAACAGGTTGAAGGTAAAAAAGGATCATTTTGAGAATATGGGGCACAAAGGTGGGATTATTTCTAGAATATGCAAAGGTGGGATTATTTTGAGAAGATGTGCCAAAGGTGGGTTTATTCTTTTCAATTTTTCCTAATATTTACTTGATTCACATTTTATTCTGCTTGAATCTATCATCTTTTCGGCCTTAACATTTATCAATAAACCTACTATCACATGTTAGGGTTACTAATTAGTCATCAAATTGGTATTCCTAACACATGACAATAGGTTTCAATTTGTTCGATGCTGAACAAATTAACTAAATGAGTTAAATTCAAAAATACATCAGATTTGAAATTTTTTGGTAATTGAAATATTCTCATTTAAACTGCCTTAATTTTGTAACATGAATAAGCATAATATATTTTAGGTTAGATAATTTCACAATAACTATCATCAATATTGTTCTCTTCTTTTCATATCCAAATAGAATTAAGATGTGATTATTTATAGGCTACATATACTTTTATTGCTAAAATACCTATACTAATAAAAATAAAGTTCAAAAGAACAAGGGCCAAAGTGGAGAAATAGCTTCAACAACCAATGATAATGATAATGCAACTTGTATTGGTTTTTACCCTTCTTTTGTGTGTGTGTGTGTGTGTGTGTGTGTGTGTGTGTGAGAGAGAGAGAGAGAGGGAGGGGGGGAGGGGGGGGACTAAAGGCAAAGAAAATATGATTGTTAAGCTACCTTGCACTCAAGCTGGACTTTGGCAACCCTCCTAGCTGTATCTTGTAACTGTGCAAAGAGCAGCTCAAGTTCTTCTCTAGGTTTTTGAGCATCTTGAAGTTTTTCTTGCCATACAAAACATGATAAAAGGGCCACCATATCTTCTAACTTTATGTCTTTAAAAATGCCACTGAACATAAGCTCTGTTAGCGTCAACTCATCAGCACTACTAATTTCAGAGGCTACCTTCCCCTTCAACTCCACAACATCGTCATTGGTAACATACCTGCAGAGAGGGGGTGGGGGAAGGAGTAACATCATTAAATCAATAACAAAAGTTTGTGGCCTTTAGAGATCAGGTAAGCATATTGAACACGAAGAGCAATACAGACTAATCTATTCACAACACAAACAGAACAAAACATTGTCAGATAGTCAGCAACAAATAAGATTATATCATAATTTATAGTAGAGCTAGATACTAAAATTTTATAGGTTAAAATTTGAAGCTCCTGTATCAAGACTGGAACATTTATGTTTAGAAACTAGACAGACAGCAAATCATCTGAAGACATCATTGATAGGTGGATGTCTAACCGTAGAGAAGAAATTTTCTTTCTTGATGCTAAGGGAAATCAAGTTTGAAGGGCAAATAGTATTAAAGTATTAAAAACAGCGAGAATATATATTTTCACAAAAGCACTAATGCGCTAGACCAATAAAGACAAAAATTGTTACCCAAGCCGCCTCAAAACTCGTTTCCTTGCTTTGAGCTCATCTTTGAATGCTAATGCAGTAGAGGTCTTCATTTGTCTTTTAATAGACTTTATCTTGGCAGCAAGTTCTTGCTTCTGATGCAACGTTTTAAGTTTCTCCTTAATCAAAGGAGATTTTGCCACTTCATGCTTTCCAAACAGACTCTCTAATGCTTCAATTCTGCGAACAGCCTTTCTGTATAAGCTGCTTTGAACCTGAAGGATACATAAATTGAAGTAAGCTGATACGAAGTAAGTAGCAAAAGGATAAAATCTCAATTAGTCTACCTTCATATCTTCTTCAGGATCTAGCAAAGGAACTCCATCCTTAGAAAACCTGGACAGAACTTCTGATACCTTCTTCAACGTGTTTTCTCGAGCCTCTAATGGCAAAAGATTCTTGGACATAATCACACGTATGCTACTCACATTGTAAATCTGGTGTAGATGAGCTCAGTTAGAATTCAAGCTTTAACAGTTGGAGTGCTCCAAAAATTATATTAGGAGTGCTTGTAACAAGTTAACAATGCCTCAAAATGAGTACATTAGATTTGCTAAAGTAAAAAAAGTTTACAGTCATGAAAGAAAACATGTACAGGAAAATCTAACAACAACGAGGTGATTTTACCTGAGAAAGTGGAACAGACACTACAATAGGCTCCCCTGAATCCTTAAGTGGAACAATTTTAGTAGTTTTCTTTGCTCCATCCTCTCCGCTCACCATGCATTTTGCAAGAACATCTACAGTGTAGCTTGCATCCTCTGGCTTTTTACTGCCTTCATCTGACGAATATTGTCAACATAAGTAAGCAAGCTACTAATAAAATGGTAATTGGTGACTTATAGATTAGATGACATATTTTATAGCTAAAATCTTTACATGAAACAACTTTTTTAAAACAAACACAAAGTCCGTGTCATTTGAGGTATCAAAAATATATTGGAGTGCGCAGATGAGTGTCACCCACCTTCAGAAACACTCTTAATCCTTCGAAAATTTATAATGACACCCCAAGTCACAATGTCCTCAATGGAGAATGATGGAAGATCTTCATCAGTTCTTGTGCATTCAATGCATACAAGTCTTCCAGGCTGTAAGAAAGGTAAGCAATACTTGGGAGAAAAAACAATATCACGGACATCTTTCTTTATACTTTTGTATTGCTCGATTAAAGAGTAATAATTCTTCAAGCTTTCTTCCCCATCAATAATAATTGAATCCCTCTCCTCTTTAAGTTGTTTAGCTTGCCTCTGAAGAGAAATGAAGTCAAAAATCAGAAAACAGCATGCATACTGAAAAAAAAAGTTCCTCAAAAAAAAAAAAAAAACAAGATGTCAATACTAACCTCCAAATCAGGCATGGCACGATCAGCTTGAAACTGATAGAATGAGTCACGGAGCAAATTTTCAGGGTTACCATCTTCACACCGCAATTGATTCAAAAGCATGTTGTAGCTCAGATGAAAGGCACTTCATACAAAGAAATTGGAGTCAGATAATATTTGCAGGACAAACATTTCATGAATAATAATCCGGCATATATAGAACTTGGCAATCCAAATGAATTATGATTTTTGTGGTACTACTGATACTTAGATATATGAATAAAAAGTCACACTATGTCAAGTTAAAGTGCAGTGAGATCGGTAGATTATTCTCCCCACTTAACAATAACTCAAAGTACCACCACCACACAAGCAATATAGATGGATACCTGTTCAAACTATCAGCATTCCCTTTAAGCATCATCTTGGCAGTTGAAGGTTCAAGCTTCTCATCCACCATCAGAATACATATTCCACGGTCATCAATACCTCGACGACCAGCACGACCACTCATTTGTATATACTCTCCACTAGAAATCCATCGAAACTTATCTCCGTCAAACTTACGGACATTTGTAAACACAACGGTCTTTGCAGGCATGTTCAAACCAATGCTAAAGGTCTCTGTTGCAAATAAGCACTGAAGAATTTTCATTCAATTTGGCATTCTCGCGTAATAATAAGTCTTCATGACTCATAAACATTAAATAAAAAGTGGCATGTACAAATGGTGTACTCAAAGTTGATCAACCATGTAAAGAAATCTATATTCCCTCTGTATTTAATTAATTGCTCTACTTCTGGACACGGAGTTTTAGGGAAATAGTAGAAAAACATCAATTTATGATTGAAGTGACGTTAAATAATAAAACAAAATCTAAGGTGTTCTTTGGTTGACGTGGGAATTTAATTCCCATAGGAATTTATACTTCATGGGTAGTTAATTCCTTACTGAAATTCCTAGGAATTTCTTAAATGTGTTGGTTGGCAATAAGGGAAATTGAAATTCCCATGAATTCCCACTTCCCCCATTTTTTCTTTTTTATGTCAACCAAAACAACTACCCATTTTATCAATTCCCATGAATTCCTAAGTCCCCCATTTTATAATGTCAACCAAACAAGGCCTAAAAAAGCAAAAGTGGATTATTGGGTATAAGTGGGGAGGAGAGTAAATATGAAAATTATTAAAATATGATATAAGGGGACCACTAATGGGGAGGAAAATAGTAAAAATTTGTTGGTAAAAGTTTCAAAAAAAAAAGGAAATGTAGCAATTATTTAAATACGGCCGCAAATGGAAAGTGGAGCAACTAATTAACTAATTAAATACGGAGGGAGTACATACTAATATCCAATTCAAGTTCAAAAATCTAAACACCCGTAGAGTTCTCTTTAAAACCCTTATAGGATCTTTTAGACAATACTTGCACACGTAATCACCAAGTTCAACAAAACGATTATAGCCCATTAGACTCTACATGAACACAATTCATATATGGCATGATGTGTGCCATTATACCTTGATAAGCCCTTCTTGAAATAGAATTTCAATTACTTCCTTCAGAATTGGAAGCAAGCCAGAATGATGAACTCCTATCCCACGTTTTAAGAGAGGTAACAGGTTTGTAACCTACAGAACATCAAAAACCTAAGAGTTACACAACAGTTTAAAGCACGAGTATAAGAGTATTACGAATTAAAAATGTAGACAAAACATAGGAGTGGTGTGGGGAAGAAGAGTATTTGGGAAATTTAGCCACTTGTATAGTATTTCCACCGTTTATTTTAATCAAAACATTGAGGATTTCATGCTCACCAATGCACATTTTTTAGCTTAAATATCGTAAGTTGTATTGTAACAAAAGTTAAAAAAAAAATTGATATTATGAAAGTGTACTTCGAGACGAATCTAACAAGATTCTACATGACTATACTTTTTCCATCATATAAATCACAATAGACGATCAAAGGAGTGTGCAAATAGTGTAAAATTCCAAATGCTGTGATTAAAAATACGGAGTAAGGCCTTGTAGTTCAACCTTATTTTTACTTATTTCAGAAAAAATAAGTTCAGATCCAGAAATAAGTTCACCCCAGATCATCGTTTTATGTGTAGTTTTATATCGCTAAATATCTTTAATTTTGTAATGAAAAAAATTATGAAAATCACATATTAATAAAATACACATTACTACGAATCTAACAAGACCCCTTGATATATTATTTCAATATAGATTGTCGTATATTTAAGGTCAAAGTTTAGTCAAATCTGACATTTAGACTAGATTAGATAAGCAAAAATAAGGTGAACCAAACAAGCCCCTAGTATATGATACCCCTCATCATACAAAATAAAGCTCATTCACTGCATCCGGAAAAGAAAAATGCAATTGCATGTATTAACGACTTAGTTTACAAAGTATCCTTCTCACATAGACGTGTTAAACACATTTATTGGTTCAGGTTTGGGCTACTCAATCTAAATTTATGGGCTATATGTTCATTTCTATACCAAGTTGGGTCAAGTTCTAGGGCTAGGTTCAAATTTTACAATTTTTTCAAAAACAAAGGTTGAACTGAGTCAGAAGCTTTATATTCAGGTTTTAATTCCAATATAAGATATGCAAGTTGAAGTTTTTCCAATTCACTTCATGCATAAAACTTGCCAGATTGAAGCGTCAAATATATCCTATATAGTTGTTTGTCTACCTCTTGTTCTTGTTGAACACTTGAAGATTGTCACAAATAAATTTGATTAAAATGCCAACCACAAGGCTTAGCAACCAATGTAAACAAATATAAGCAAGACTATAGGGGCAAACTAAGGCACAATTCTTCTAAATAAAAAATAATAAGCAACAGTAACATTAGCTTTA